GCTTGATTTGAGGTAGTATCTTTATATTTGGTTTTAAACTAACAATTTTATAATGGTTAACAACACTGCTTACATATGGGACTTGGAATCAAGAAAACATGAAATTTTATTATTGCTTTCAAGCACCAACAGCACAAGCTGACTGTGAAATTGACCTTTTGAAAACAGTATAATCTGATAGACTTAGGTGGTCAAAACTAACCTTTTGTTGCAATATTTTTTATTAAATGTAACCAGTATAGTTGAGCACTGCACTGAATAGGTTACAACCAGGGGCGGACTGACCATTTGGAAACTCGGGCACTGCCCGAGGGCCCGAGGTCAGTAGGGAGCCCCATGAGATACCCCTGGTACCTTTTTCATAGGCTTTTTTGAGTTTGGGCAAGGACACAGGGGCCCCATGATCCCCTATTGCCCGGGGCCCCATGAGTTGTCAGTCCGCCCCTGGTTACAACCAATGGTGGAAGGATCAAAACCTGCATTTAGTAACAATTAGCACAACTAAGAGGTAAAGTCAAATCTCAGACTTTAAGGCAGTCTCAGTATGCAGATGCCAAACAATTATTTCCATGTGAAATATACCTGTATTTGGAGTTTGCCACTAACATACACAGAAAGGACTGGTTGTACCAGTAAAGTAGTATGGAGATAGAAAATCCATAAAAGAAGCTAGCATAATGGAGTAGTAACTGGAAGGGAATACAATGAAAGGGGAGTAAAGGATGGCAGGTGGCCAAGCAGGCCTGGTTGCAGGACCGCACTATTCTACTAATTGTTAAACAATAAGCGTTGCCCATTCAAAATCAAAGGTAATCTATCTTCATTTGTCAAGTATCATGACATTTTCCATTTGTGTTATAGCTATAATTGCCAACTTCCAGACCTTCACCAATTTCTGATTAGCCACAGAAAAAATAAAATTTATAGGTTTTGAGTTGGGCATTACAACAAACCTAACTTTTCCAAAGGCATGGTACATTTTCCCAAATACTTCTGCCCGGGACTGTATAAACAATTATTTTGTCCCTAACCCAGTAACATCTTTTATTGAGCAGACCCACCAAACACGTATAAGTGTACAGGTTTCACTGCATTGCCAAAAACAATAGGGGAACCCTTCCCCCCCTTAAACATATACCTATCATTTGAGGCAACCTGTAGCATTCATTTGTAGATGGTCTCTATCACTGTGTAGCAGTGGTCTGTGTGTCCAGTCAAATAGTTGTTTATTGAGATTCCTTTTTCATTGCCAACATATGGGAGGAAAGCAGGGCTTTAATTTTCTAGAATGGACAAGTAGATAATAGAAATCACACCTTTCTCTTGAAGATTGTGTAATTAAAGACATTCAAGTAGAGTGAGAGTTTTGAGGGAAAGGGAGTTAGGAGTTATAAAAGGAGGAGTTATGAGTTTGGAAGGTTTTGTATTTTAAGATATCATTAGGAATAATCAAGTCATAAACTTATCTCAAACCACTTTTTATCCAATATCGGTATCTAGTCCTGGGGGAAATTAAGGATTGTATACTACCTGAACTATGGGGGCTAGAATGTAAGGGGCATTAGTTTTCCATATTATGTTACATTGTCACAATTTTAAAAAAAAAGCATCAAGATGGGGATATCAATGTGTTTTCATTGGAATAGCAATGTCCATATTATGGTACCAGTTGAAATAGATGATGTTTCCAAGGCTTCCAAGCTCATCCAGTGAAGGGTACCAGGTGTTGTGTTATGAGAGCAGAGAGATACATGGGCTGTGTAATGAAAACTTGCAACATGGAACAGATAGGCAACTTTTTTTTAGTTTTTATAGAGATGAGGTTGACTTCTCCCAAATTAACCACTTGACCTCCAGAGGATTTTTAATGACCAGGCCTCTTAATGCTGCACTAATTCAACTGATAATTGCTACGGGTGGTGCAATGCTGCACCCAAACGAAATTTACGTCCTTTTTTTCACACAAATAGAGCTTTCTTTCAGTGGTATTTGATCACCTGTGCACTTTTTATTTTTCACGCTATAAACAAAAAAAGGCCTAAAATTTTTGAAGAAAAACAATATTTTTTACTTTCAGCTATAAAAAATATATAGTAAACTCAAAGTTGGTTATAAATTTAGGCCAAAATGTATTCTGCTACATGTTTTTGGTTAAAAAAATCCCAATAAGTGTATATTGATTGCTTTGTGTGAAAGTTATAGCGTCTACAAACTATGGTATATATACTGCAATTTACGCCATTTTTTTGCTATACAGCACTGCGCTAGTTTAACGGACAATTGCGCAGGTCATGCAATACGGTACATAAATGAAATTTACATCCTTTTTTTCCCACAAATTAAGCTTTCTTTTGGTGGTATTTGATCGCTTGTGCGGTTTTTATTTTTTGCGCTATAAAAAAAAAGGCTGACAATTTTGAGGAAAAAAAAACAATATTTTGGACTTTTTGCTATAAAACATGTCCAGTAAAAAAAAAATTTAAAAATCAAATTTAGTCATACATTTCTGCCAAAATGCATTCTGCAAAATGTGTTTGCTAAAAAAAAACCCCAATACGTGTAAATTAATTGTTTACGTGAAAGTTATAGCGTTTACAAATGGCGGGAAAGATACTGGGATTTTTAGGGGTTTTTTATACTAATAATGACGGCGATCAGCGACTTATGGCGGCGATCGGGGACTTATGGCGGTGATCAGCGACTTATGGCGGGACTGCAGCGGACATTCTGACACTGGGGGGTACTGACTTGGGGTCACTGACATCCCCAGTAACACCAATACAGTGATCAGTGCAAAAAAAAAAAAAAACACTGACACTGTACTAATGGCACTGGGGAGGAAGGGGTTAACTTTATTTTGCAGGGAAGGGTTATCTGTGTGAGGGGAGTGTTTTACTAGGGGGTGGGGGTGTGTACTGCAGGGGACACGGCTGATCGGGAGAGTGAAACTCTTCTATCCCGATCACCATGTCCTGGAGCTGTCAGGGAAGTGACAGAAAGCACAGCTACTGCAGCTGTGTTCTCTGTCACTGATTGGTGCTCTCTGTCACTGATTGGCACCGATTGCCGGAGATAGCCGGTAAGGACCGACTGTGACCCGGCGACTGACATCTGCGGCTGTGATCAGCGGGACAGGTAGGGCGGCGGCGCGCCCGCCCCCTGTTTACAAAACACACGTTTTAAAACGTGGTTTTGCCTGCCTGTGCCGCCCTGCCGCCATATTTCTACAGTGGCAGGGCGGCAAGTGGTTAACAGAAGGAAGTATAATTGAAACAGTTTCAAAATATGAGCTCGAATGTTTATGTTTGAAAATCTGAATAAGGTACAGAATATTAGGAGTAGATTCTTTTTAGTCTCTTTCACACATTAGGTGATAATATTTGGCTGGGGGTCTGGCATTTCTTAGCTAGATAAATGAAGTTGAGTAATTGTTACACATTATCTATGACTTATCTATTAGGCCTGAGCTCAGTAACATCTCGTTTCAAATCTACAAAAATAATATCCTGTATTGAACACACTAGGGGTTATATACCAAATGCAAATAGGATATTCAAATTGCAAGGGAATTTTTCTTTAGCTTAGTAAGTGTGGTGAAAAATTCACTTTTCAAAAAAATAAGTATTTATTTGCAAGGAATATAAAAAAGTATTTTTGTTTGCTCATTATTGGATAACTGTAGTCAGCACAGCTTCACCTCATATACTAAGCTAAAACAAAAATTCCCTCCCAGAATCAAAATTAATTTGCAAAGTGAACAATTTATTTGCCTTTAGTACATCAACCTCACTTGCCCCAAATTTATTTGCCTTTATCAGGCAGTCTGCAAGCAAACATTGGTTTTAGTACACTATTAAATTATATTTATCACTAAAGTAATTGGTATACCTATTACCAAACAAATTGACTGCTCAAGCAGTAGGTATAGTGATATTCCTAAAGGATTTTTTAGAAGTCACATTTTTAGTAAGGTCTGCTCTTTATTACTGAGCTGTTCACCATGATGTCATAGTAGTCATTAACCTCATTCCACCCCCATGGTACAAAGCATATTATGTGCTAATATACACTCCTTAAATAAGATAATATGTGTAGCTGTCAAATGCCAATAAAATAAGTAAATATATGGTGGATATGATGCCAGTGAACTAAACACAAATGTGATCATGACTGGTGGCTATACTATTTATAGGTTTAATTTAGTATTCTTAAACCTGGGCTGCTATCACACTAGTAGGGATCGTAAAACAATTGCTTGTGAAGATCAAAAAGGAAAGCACTTCTGTCTGTGTCCAAACTAAAGAGAATCATCCATTTTATATCTTGCTGACAACTGTTGAAGGGAGGGAAAACTTAAACTGTCAACGAGTTGTCACCAGAACAGTAAGGGAAGGGAAATATTGTACTGGGTCACTGTTTAACCACTTCCAGTCCGGACACTTTTACTCCCTTCCTGTCCAGGCCCAATTTTCAGCTTTCAGTGCTATCACACTTTGAATGACAATTGCGCGGTCATGCAACACTGTACCCATATGCATTTTTTAGCAATTTTTTTGAGACAGATAAAGCTTTATTTTGGTGGTATTTATTCACCACTGGGATTTTTTTTTTTTTTTGCTATGTAAATGAAAAAGTCCAAATATTTTGAAAAAAAGTGTTTTTCTTATAACATTTTGCAAATAAATAGTATTTCATGATAAATCTTGGCCAAAATGTATTCCGTTATCTTTTTAGTAAAAAAAAAAAAAATAACCCAAATTAGTTTATAGCCAAAAATTAATTTTTTTAAACTTTTTTTAAAAAATGTTTATATTATTATTTATGTTTTTTTTACATACTGTCACCCTAGCAGTACAGTGTCACCATGGTGACACTGTACTACTTGTGGGGGGTGATGAAGATTTTTTTTTTTTTTACACTGATTGCTTTTACACCCATAAAAGCTGTAAAAGCAATCATTTCTCCTTCTCTCTAGCTGCATTCTTGCAGCCATTGAGAACTACTGTGTGAGCTGTGATTTGTCACAGCTTGTCACATGGTACAAGGCTGTTGTGAATAGCCTTGTACCATGTGACCTCTCTGATCATTCACACGTAGTAAGCAATGATGTCAGAAGTGATGTTTGCATGTGATCACATGATTGGGACCTCGCACAGAGGTTCCGTCCGATGATCGGTGTTTCACTGTGTCCGGAGGACACAGCGGGCACCGGATCGCGGTGTTGTGCACTCCCAGGGAGCGCACACAAGCAGGGTGCGGGGAGGCCGTTTATAAATGGCCACCCGACCCTGCACTGCCACCGTCCGGCTGATTATATACACGGGCTGGATGGGAGGTGGTTAAAGTGGTTGTAAACCTCAGACATGAGATCTGAACAAAGAACATACAGTATTTCTATAGTGTCTACTTGCCTCTCTGCACATTACTAAGTGTAATTTATTTCTCCTGTCCAGTTGACAAGTTTTCCTTACACCAAGAGCAAAAAAGGTGACAGGGAAGGGAACTCCAGTACACAGCCTGTGACTAACTGTCTCAGCTCTTTTCCTGTGTGCTCTGTGAAGGGGGTATGTCCATTCCCTTCAATCAACTCCCAGAGTTCTTCTACAGTGTGTAACTGTAGTGAATGTGTGAAAAATTCTTTTAATCTCTGAGATATGCATGGATGTACAGGGCAAATTGCAGCAGATAAACAGATACAACTTATGTAGGAGGATTTGCTTTACTTCTATGTAATTATGTAGGAGGATTTGTTTAACTTTGTATCACCTGAGGCTAGCCACTTCACTGGGTATAGGTTAGGATTTGCAACCACTTAAAGGAGAGTTTTCCTTTACTTTGGAGAGATTTTCTTACACTTCCTTTAGTTTCTACTGAACAGGAAGTATAGCATAAACATTCAAGTGGCACACAGATGGCGAAGAAAAAAAATGACAGGTATTTTTCCATTTCCTATTCTACCCATAATGAAAAAAAATTGGCTTTAGAGATAGTTCAATTTTGGCTACAGTATCATTGTTCAATCAATATGCAATTAAATTATCATAAACTAAGGTTTAAACAACTGGTACTGGAACATAGTGGAGTATAGCTGTTGGCACCATTTTCATATAGCTAAAAACCTTTTAACCACTTCAGCTCCAGAAGGTTTTACCCCCTTCATGACTACTTTAACTGGTAATTGTGTGGTCATGCACCACTGTATCCATACACAATGTATATAATTTTTTCATACAAATGAAGCTTTCTTTTGGTGATATTTGATCACCATTGAGTTTTTGTGTATTATCATTATTACAAAATTGTGAAAAAAAATATTTTACTTTCTGCGATAAAACATACCCAATGAAAATTTTTTAAAAATCAAATTTCTTAAAAAAATTCAGGTCAAAATGTATTCTGCTACATGTCTTTGTTACAAAAAAATCCCAGTAAATGTATGTTAATTGGTTTAGGTGAAAGTTATAGTCTACAAACTAGAGGTGCATTTCAATAAATTAGAATATCATCAAAACAATTTATTTATTTCAGTCATTCAATTCAACAAGTGAAACACATATTTCTTTACATTCATTACACACAGAGTGACATAATTCAAGCATTTCTTTCTTTTAATTTTAATGATTATGGCTTAGCTAGTGAAAACCAAAAATTTAGTATCTCAGAAAATCAGAATATTACATAGGACCAATAAAAAAAAGGATTTTTAATACAGAAATGTTAGCTTACTGAAATGTATGTCTATGTACGGTATAGTATGCACTTAATACTTGGTCAGGGCTCCTTTTGCATGAATTATTTTATCAATGCAGGATGGCGTCGCACTGCTGAGGTGTTATGGAAGCCCAGGTTGCTTTGATAGCAGCCTTCAGCTTGTCTGCACTGTTGGGTCTGGTGTCTCTCATCTTCCTCTTGACAATACCCCACAGATTCTCTATGGGGTTTAGGTCAGGTGAGTTTGCTGGCCAATCAAGCACAGATAATATTATCATTAATCTAGGTATTGTTGCTTTTGGCAGTGTGGGCAGGTGCCAAGTCCTGCTGGAAAATGAAATCTGCATCTCCAAAAAGCTGGTCAGTAGAGGGAAGCATGAAGTGCTTTAGAAAAACCTAGTAGAGGACTGCACGTACTTTGAACTTGATAAAACACAGAAGACCAACACCAGCAGATGACATGGCTCCCCAAATCATCACTGACTGTGGAAACTTCACACTGGACCTCGTGCAACTTGGATTATGAGTCTCTCCACTCTTTCAAAATGTATTTTCATCCAAAAAGAGAACTTTTGAACACTGAGCAATAGTCCAGTCCTTTTTTTTCTTAGCCCAGGTAAGACTCTTCTGACATCTTTGGAGTGGTTTGGCACAAGGAATGCGACAGTTGTAGCCCATGTCCTGGATACATCTGTGTGTGGTGGCTCTTGAAGCACTGACACCAGTCGTAGTCCACTCCTTGTGAATCTCCCCCACATTCTTTATTGGCCTCTGCTTCACAATCTTCTCATGCCTATGGTTATCCCTGTTGCTTGTGCACCTTTTTTACCACACCTTTTTCCCTCCATGAAACTTTCCATTAATATGCTTGGATACAGAACTCTGTGAACAGCCAGGTTCTTTAGCAATGACCTTTTGTGACATACCCTCCTTGTGGAGGGTGTCAGTGACTGTCTTCTGGACAACTGTCCAGTCAGCAGTCTTCCTAATGGTTGTGTAACCTACTGAACCAGACTGAGAGACTATTTAAATGCTCAGGATATCTTTACAGGTGTTTTGAGTTAATTAGCTTATTGGAGTATGACACCACGAGTCTACAATTTTTAACTTTTTTTTACAATATTCAAATTTTCTGAGATACTGAATTTTGGGTTTTCACTAGCTGTAAGCCATAATCATCAAAATTAAAATAAATAAATGCTTTAAATGTATCACTCTGTATGTAATGAATCTACATAATATATGAGTTTAATTTTTTCAACTGAATTACTGAAATAAATTAATATATTTATTTTAGAATTAATTAATTCTAATTTCTTGAGATACAACTGTCTAGTAAATATACTGGAATTAGTATTTTTTTATACTAGCAACAACAGTGATCAGTGGCTTATTGTGGGACTGTCATAGTGTGGCACTAACGTACCCTGGGTGGGAACTGACTAATTTCCCCTGACATCACCAGTAACAGTAATATAGTGATCAGTTATAAAACTATACACTGTACCTATACTAATGACACTAGCTGAGAAGAGGTTAACATCTCAGGTAATCAAGGGGTAAATGTGTACCTAACAAGTGTTAATGTTTGAAATGTGTGCTGCTTTTTACTACATTTATTTTTGTTGCATCTCCCTGCTTTGTAGAGAGAAGAAACAGAGAGATTGTTGCCTCTGTACAGAGCCCTGTGTTGATTGTCAACACAGGGCTCTGGACAGTGATTGAACACAGCCATCAGCAGGTCCCAACCTTGAATCATTAGTGGGAATCTGCTGACAAACTCCTGCTGTGTACAATCACAGCAGGAGTTGGCAAGTGGGAGCAAGAGCATACCCTGTACCTGGAAGAAATCAGTGACATACAGTTATGACGCTGTGTCTGTGTAGACCACCCATCCGCAGTACATTGTGGACAGGCAGTGCACATTGCCTACCAGGCACTTTTATCCCCTTCCTGCCCAGGCCAATTTTCATCTTTCAGTGTTGTTGCAAGGTGATGCAATACTATACTCATATGAAAGTTTTATCTTTTTTTTTTTCCTCACAAACAGATATTTATTTTGGGGGTATTTAATCACCACTGGGCATTTTATTGTTTGCTAAATAAATGAAAAAAAATACAGAATGCATTTTTAAAAACCCTGTTATTCTTAGTTTCTATTATATATTTTGAAATTTTTCTCCATCACTGATGTGTGTTGATGAGGCTGTACAGATGGGAACTGATGAGGCAACACTGATGAGGTGACACTGATGGGCATTGATGAGGAGGCACTGATGAGGCTGAATTAATATGCGGCACTGATGGGAACTGATAGGCGGAAATCATGGGCACTGATAGGAGGTAATGATGGGCACTGATAGGCAGTACTGATGGGCACTAATAGGCAGCGCTGAGGGGCACTAACAGGCAGCACTAAAGGGCACTGATAGGCAGCACTGATTGGTGAGACTGACTGGGAGCACTTATGGGCACTGATTTTCAGCACTGCTGGACAGCACTGTTGAGCACTGATTAGCAGCACTAATAGACCCTGATCAGCATTGAGAAGCAGCAACGATGGGCACTGTTGGGGCTGCGCTGATAACCAGTGCTCTGATTATCAATGTAGATGTCTCCTTCCACACTTGTTGGTGAGAAAAGTACTGCCGATAAACGGCAAGTGTGTTTACATCCTAATCATCTGGGAATGGACACAGCTGATCACATGGTAAAGGGCTGCTGTGATTGACCCTTTATTGTGACATGTGATCAGCTGGGTCTGAAGGACACTGGGTGGCGTGGTTCTGGGAGGACACCATATGACACCCTCTCAGAACTGGACGACTACACTGTAGTGCGGTCATCAAGTGGTTAAAGTTGATAGGGATAAAATATGGAGAAATGTGGCTTTTGTTTTTTTTTTAACTTTGCATGCACTTTGCAAGATCAAAACTTTCAGATGTCAGTCCTTTTGTATTGCAAGTTAAAATCTGGTTAGTGTCTGCAAGTAAATAATGACAGTTCTTTGTAACAATGCTTTGATGCCCTATGTTTCATTTGGTAAAGCTGTGATGAATTCATTTTTTTAGAAAGAAAAATTATTTTGGCAGGCAAGTAAATGCTATGCTTTACATAAATCAATATAAAAATATTTTGATTGTTTTGTATAATAATATCCAACAACATTCATATATTATGCATATTGTTTCAGTTCATGAAGTCTACTAACATTATGTGGGCAGTCTACATTGTTTCAACTCAGATACCATCTGTCCTTCACTGCATGGGAGAAAAGTTCACATTCCACCTGCAGAGAATGATTATGGGCATATGCCTTTTACTTACTGAATTTTCTCATATGGAAACCCTACTGTACATTGGTCTTGTCAGAGAGCAGCAGGTGACAAATGGTTTTGTTCAGAATTTGGAGTGCTTTAATCAAAACTGACATTGACAAATGAGCTAAGGCTATAGTTGTCATTATATAGATATTGCATAGAATTTATGAGCATGGTAGAACATGCAATCCTTTATGCACACATGATTTTGAAATGCTTAAAGAAAAATATGACTTACATCTCAACTACCACATTTTAAGATACATATT